GCAATTAAAGAGATGCTATCTTGGGTCAGACCACAGGTCCAGCCAGCTCCGTATCCTGTATCATAAGGTGACAGAGAGTTAGATAACAATGTGGAAGTAGTTACAGAAGCTGGGAAGGACAAGGGTTAAAGAATGTGATCGACCACTATTACAGATTTACATGAGCAGGAAGTACGCTATAGTGGAGATCATGTAAGAGAGAATTGGAGATGCACCAATTGCAAACATTGCTCAATGAGCTCAGTGAGGAAAGGGAGATGAGACAGTAGTAGCATAGCCAAGGGTGGCTTCCTTTTTTCATATGGGAAAGTCTAAAACAGGGCTGTCACTCTCATCTGACCCTCTGGGATCCAACCACATGCAGTTCCCCCCACTTCCCCTCATTCCCCTTGCTGTTCTGGCACCCATACTACACATGGTGTATACTTCAGCTGGTCCATGACCCAATGCTGCATGTGGCGCATGCTCCAGCTGATCAGGGGCCTGGACTAGCTGGAGTGAGCACCATGTGTACATCCTGGACTGGTGGGGGGGAGCACTGTGTGCAGTGCATATTCCAGACCAGGTGCTGTGTGCGGCACAGTCCTGGACTGGTGGGGGCAGGTGTTGCGTGTAGTGCGAATCCTGAAGCACGAGCTCCGTGTGGCATGCATCTTAGGTCCTGCACATAAGGCCAGTCCGGCATGCACTGCATGGGTCACTTCAGAATCAGGGGCAGCACTGGGGGACTGTGGGTTGAAACTGACCCATAGGCTGTATCTTTGACACCTCTGGTTTAAAACATCATGGGATGTTTGCACACTGTCAGAGCCTCAAGTAAGAAAGTATGATGTAGAAAAGCAGTTTTAGATAGTGATGTGGTTTTAAATATTTGGGAGGTTGTATATACAGTACTGTTGAAAGATTAAATTTAACATTTAAATTGGCTATGTAAAAAGTAGACTGTATGTGTTATTTGAGAGTGCCTAGCTGCATCTACTGTAACCATTATGCACTGCATTTCATTTGTATTTCTTAACCTATTGCAAGTAGTTTAAAAACCCCCAAGAATACAGTGTTCTTACATAGGTATCTCACAGTGTGTATCAGTGCTTGGATAATTACTTAGAACATTTGTGAATAAAACTGACCCAAAACAGCTGTCAGCACTAAATTGACTGTAGGACAGATTAATAATTTGCACCTTAAAATGTGGACACCTAGTGCCTAAACTATTACTTCTGCTCGCAGTAGGTCCACAGTTTCTCAAGATCATTATGTCAGAATGCACAGTGCAATCGCTAGCACACCTGGTGCAGCTTCACTGAGAGAGATTGTCTGCAATTCTTATAGGGTTTTTTTGCTGTTTTCTGATTGGCTAATTAAGCCCATTCACCTTCACGTTCTATTATGAAAACGAGGCCTTATAACTTTCTTCCAGGTACCTTCCCACCAAACAAAATTTCCATTCTCTGACTGCCTTCAGTTGGTCTCCTAACTGCTCATTTAGTTCCCACTGTGTTCTCCACCTGTCTGTGAGCTATCTTCCTTCCCTCCCATTCCTTCAATGATAATGCACCTGCCACCTGCCCTCTTCTGTTTCCTCTTACCTAACGCGGTGCTGTATTTCCCTTGCTGTTGTTGCTTACTTTTTCTCCCTGTCCTGCCTGCCTCCACACCTACTTATTACTGTTTCTCTGGACTCTTGTGGCCAATTTACATTCCTTGGATTGACAGTACCACACTTAAAACAATTGTAATGTTCCTGTTTATAACAAAACTCTGCTTTTAACAATCCCAACGCTAGGAACCACTTTTTTCATTATAATGATGTTGCAAATTGATTTAACCCCATTATAGCAAATACCATCTTTAAATGAACTTTTATCCCAGTCCCATGAGGGTTCATTATAATGCAGTTGTGTTATGTTTTCAACTTATTCAGTGTTCCTGGCTTTTCTGCCCCTTCATTATCTTCCTCATACTCTGTCTGTGGTGGTTTTCCTCCACCCACACCATTTGTCTTTCCATCCTTCTTGTTGGATCATGTTTGCTGAACAAATGTATAGGTGTTGTAGGAGATAATACTCCAGAAAAGTTTTGTTTGTGCCCAAAGCTGAATCGATTCAGTCTTTACAGGTCAGTCTAAATTGCAGAGATTAAACTGAAAAACAACTGGATACACATTTGTTTTTGATTCTGGAAATCCAAATCTTAGGCCAGAAGCCGAGGGGAGAGGGAACTAGAACACGGCTCTCTGGCACGTAGCCAGCAATGGCTGTGAGTTTGCTTCCTCTTCCTGCTGCCCCTGAGGTCTCTGGGATTTGCAGTTCAGAATTACAGCAGCCAGACTCTGCAGGTTTGCTCATCACTTCCTCTTCCTGCTTCCGGGTGCCTCTGGGATTTGTAATCCATCGTCATAGCCAGTAGTAAATTTAAGCAGGGAAGGGGTGTTTAACCCCCCTTCCTGGCCCCAGATCCCAGTGGCGGTTTGCCTGGACAGGGGTGGAGGGGCAGTCCTGTGTCAAGGTCTGACCAGATGGGTTTAAATTCTTTAGTAAGACCCTTAATTTTGGTGGCTGCAGGCTGCATGTTCTGCTGTAGTGTCAGGTAAATAAAAAAAACCTAGAGGTTTTGTTGCAGATTTTGATGTATTCAAGATGGAATTTAATAATCTGTGTAGCTGTCCCTGTGACTGTTCTGATACTGAATTTATTGTATGTTGTCCCCACTCTGAAATTTAAGCATCCTGCAGATTTTTGGATTAAAATATATTCATATTATAGAGATTTTCATAGAGAATCTGGAGGTTATGTGAAGTGGTAGAGAGAGGCTAGTTGGGATTTTGGCACACAGAAAGGTGTAGGGTAAGCAGATTGGGGGATAAGTACATGAGCCGGATGTTTCCACTGAAATTATCAATAGTGAAAATATTACGAACGTTGACATTTAATGACGCATGTTGTTTTGGAGTTGGGCCGGGGGCAGGGTATAGTTCATGTCTTGACACTCAGGCTTTTTGTATAGACCAGTGATTCTCAACCAGGGTGCTGTGAAATCTGTTTGTGTGCGCCACAGACTGACATGCAGTGTTAGCACTGTTAGGTGTGCAAACATGATTCATGTGATAAACCCAGTGATTTCAAATAGGAATCCATAGCGTTAAAACTGTTCTGACTGGCTGTGTTTTTTCTGATTTTTTTTTTTTTTCTGTAACAAGAATTGCTTTATTATTTTCCTGCAGTAAAAAATAAGTGAAAATTAAGAGCTGACACTTTCCAAGAGGAGCCTCAAGTCTATCCAGGGTTTGAGAACAACTGGTATAGACAAAGACAGTGCTGTGTTGCTTTGAAGTGAGAATTGGGCAATGCAGGTGAGATGGGGAGTGGGACACATGACTTATCCCCTGAAAATCTAATTTAAGGACCCCCAGGACTTTGGCTATGGCTCCCCACAGCTTCTTGGATGGTGTCAGTGCTCCCACTGCTGGGAACTTGCTGTATTTTTCCACATACAGTACACA